AGCTTGAACTCCTGATCCTCTTGCTTCTACCTTGCAAGTCCTAGGATGACAGGCATGTATGTGCCTTGCTTCAATTTAGTTTTGGGTCAGGAGGAGGAGGAGTTGTTGTTTGGTTGGTTTTGGAGTTTTTCCAGACAGGGTTTCTCTGTGTAGTCTTGGCTGTCCTGGAACTTGCTCTGTAACTAGGCTGGCCTCGAACTCAGAGATCCTCTGGCCTTTGCTTCTCAAGAGGGATTAAAGGCATGCATCACCATTGCCCAACTTCAATCTAGTTTTTAAATGAACAAAATAAGAGCTATACAATATAAAAAACTCAACTGTTAAAACCATGAAGAAGGGTTCTTCAGGATGAGTAGAAGCAAATTTTTTAAAAGGAAGTCTTTTTTCTTTGGTCATGTATGGAACAGCACAAATCCCTACAATAAGGCAAGAAGCAGGGCAGAGCTTCGCACAGGGTCAGTCTCATTTAGTGGATACCCAGAGACCAGCTAAGAAAATTAAGAGCTAGGGAGAAGAGAGGGCTGTCCATGATGTGAGCTTGATATAACAGATGCACTATATATACATAGTAGCTAGTTCTATGACCATGTAGGGAAACTAAAGCTTGACTAAAATTTTCTTGTCTAGGTTCAAGAACGAAGACCAGATTGGGCCTTTTAAATTCGTGCTTATCATCATCATCATCATCACCGGCAGTAATGGTGGTGGTGGTAGTGCATATTATGAGTATATGTGTATGTGTGCATGCATGCATGCTCGCAGGGATACATGCACCACAGCAACTATGTGCAGGTCAGAGGACAACTTTCAGGAGTCAGTGCTCTCCTTTATTGTAGGTTCCAGGGATTGAACTTGGGTTGACAGGCTTCCATGGCAAGCTCTTTACCAGCTAAGCTACCTTGCCAGTCCCGGATTGGATCTTCCAGTAGAGAACATAGGTATCTGTTGCTGAGGGCACCAACAATGGCCAATGCCGGGGTCCGCTACAAACATGCTGGAGAAATCAATTAGTCTTTAGGACAAGGGTTCTCCACCTGTGGGTTGTGACCCCTTTGAGGTTGCGTATCAGATATTTACAATTCATAACAGTAGCAAAATTACAGTTATGAAGTAGCAATGAAATAATTTTCTGGTCGGGGGTCACCACAACATGAGGGACTGTATTAAAGGGTCGCAGCGTTAGGAAGGTTGGGAACAGCTGCTCTAGGAGGTAGTTTTGTAAGGGATGTGCTCATTTTCCAATATTACAGATTGCTCTGACGGACTGAATCGGGGAAGGGACAGGAATGCAAGTCCACTGGCCCCATTTTATCTTCAGGGTACCCACGATAAAAATTAACTCCTAATGTGGCATCCTTCCTCTACAACAAGGTTCTCAACAACCTACTGACTTTGACCCCAGGGACATTTGGCAATGTCTGGAGACACGTTACAACTAGTAGGAGGTAACTCCATCCACCTGGCAGGCCAGGGATGCTCCTTAATGTCCCACAATTAACAAGGCAGCTACCCCACAACTAAGGACCATCTGATCCCTAAGGCCACCAGTGCCAAGGTTTGGGACACCTTGGCCTCCAGTGCCACTGGCACAAATCTAAGCTGTCACCAAGGTAACGTTTGCTGAGAATTAAACTAAAAAATGGCAGCTGCCATTTGTTAAGCTGCTTTAGTAGGTGAAATCTAAGCACAATGCTAGCTCTGTACTAATACGCTTAATTCTTATGAAAATCTTATGGTGTGCTATTTATTCCCATTTTGCAAAGATAAAGAGGTAGTAACTTGCCCACAGCCCCATAGCAAGTAACGAAGTTCTCAATACTACCCCCCATATTGCCGTTTCCCAAACCAACAGCTTTTGTGTGCAGTAGAAGCAGTTGAAAAGTACCTTAACTGTAACGTCTGGGGACAGAGAATCCAACACCTGTGACAGAACATGGTAAGAGCGGTGGAGAGCTCTAAGAGTGTCCCTGGGGTGGGCATAAGATTTACACTCATTACTTCCAATTCCTTGGTACTTGCTTATTTTAGAAAGTCAAGGAAGCAGTAGAATGGCAGCCTTAGCATCTTTCTTGATTGCTGAACTGAAATGAAAGTGTCTGTAGAGGAAAAGTAGAATCAACAAAGCGTATGATGATAAAGGCGCAAAGCACAATCGATGTCACATTTATAAAGGATCTTTCGATCTTCAGTTGATCCCTCCATGGCCCAGCAGGAGCCTGGAGAAAGGCCATTGGATAAGAAGATGTGTTCAAGGCCACGGCGGCGCCTTATCCACGAAAACAAAACTGCTACAGACTAAAAAACCACTGGAGCATTCTCCAAAGTGACAAAAAGAATTTAGCTCAGATTTACAAAGGACTCATGGGTTCCTGATTCTCTCTTTGAAAATATATATTTCCTTATATAACCCAATGTCCTTGTCACACCCACCAGGATTAAGGCCACTCATCCAATATCCAGCTCTATCAAATTTCCTTCCTTACAGAAAAAGGGCTCATTAGGGCTGGTTTATTAAATCAGGCTCCAAACAGGGACAACACACTTACCCCCCCTCTCTAAAGTTTTGTAGAACCCAGCGCAGTCTCTCTCCCCCTTCCTCCCCCACAGGGCTGACTTACGACAGAAACTAGGTTAGCGGCTTTGGAAATGTCCCACATTCTGACTCGTCCATTTACTCCCTTGCATTGTAATTTAACTGGTTCTTTCATCCCCTGTATTTTTGGCCAATGGAAGTAGCTTTAGAGCTCAGGCCTCTCTTTCTCTGACAAGAATGCTGCACAGGGGGTACTGTGAGCTTCAGGTTCGAGACATCAAGGGGCCCATGTCGGCCTTGTTCCACTTTTAACCATGCCACACTTTATCAGAGGGCTCAAAGGTACCAGCCTAAGATCCGCATCCACCTTTCAACTAAGGCTCCTGGCTACTTGTGACCAGTCTCCTAGTCAAACTTCACCATGGGTGTAAGTGGTGACTTTCTAATTTTTTAAATTTTCTACTAGTCCAGACACATTCATTGGGCAGACTCTGTCCCTCACTGGCTGAGCCTAATTGATTTCTATGGACTATAATTTGGACAGGAAAAGCAGGACAACTCTTTTTACTCTCCAACTTTCAGAATGAGAAGAAGCCGGTGCCCTCGTTACATCCCATAGAGTTGGCTTCCAACAAAATTCAACAGTATCGAAATACGTTTTTATAAAACATTTTTAACAGAAGAGATTCTGTGAGCAACCCAGCTGAATTCTAAAGGGAGCCAGTTAGAACTTCACATTTGTCTAGTGATACCAGACGCCCAGCAACCTGGGGTGATCACGGGACCCAACAGTGTCTTCTCGAACCTTTCGTCCAGACAAGTCAGAGGTCTGTGCAGAGCCCATGGGTCACGGTAAAACCAGGGGAAACTACCTACCTGTTCCAGACACGACTCCAGAGACAAATGCCAGATGAAGACGTGACTTTTCTCTTTCCTTTTTGCAGTGCTTGAGGAAGAACCCAGGGCCTTGTGGATGCTAGGCAAACACTCTGCTATGGAGCTATTCCCAGCTCCCTGAACCTTTTTTAAAAGCTACCTTCACAGATAAAATTGTCTGTGAACATCATAAATTATTGGAAATACCCACAAGGGTGGTTGTGATTAAAATAAGTGGTTTTTTTTTCTTCTTCAGAAAAATAATAAGATGAAAAGCAGGAAGCCATAAATTATACAATGATAAAAATCACGGCAGCTGGTACAAAGTCAGCGTGAATGTGTAAAGCTCAAAAAACAGAGGATGTGAAGAATCCAAGAAAGCCTGGGATGCTAGTAAGTTAACTGTAGAGATGGCGCTCGCTTTATCTGGCAGATACCACCGAAGACAAGTGGATCTGAAAAGCACAAGCCTGGGAAAAATGTAGTGGGGCTGTCAGTAAACAAATACATGGGGATACGGTTTTCTTCAAATGTTCACTTCTTAAAATGTCTTTAAACTATAATTATTTAAATAAAGAAGTAGGCTGGTACAGGTCGGAAAAGCTACTAATCACATTTCTGAGGCTGACCTGGGACTCTGTCTTAGACACACACACACACACACACACACACACACACACACACACACACACACACGATTCATGACAACAGGGGGAGTCAGGCTGAGAGCAACTTCACTAAAAAACAGCTCGCCTGCTCCGACCATTTCTGTATCCCCACCCCTCCTCTTTTTTTATAAGGAGACCTACTTCAAAGAGAATTGATCCACAGCCATGAGAACCTGTGTCCTGGCAGGAACAGATCATCTGCCAAATAAAGCCTCTTAGGAATTCAACAGACCACAAGGAAGCTAGCTCTTGGCCAGGTGGCACGGGATGTAGTCCAGCCATTTTAGTGTATGACTGGCCAGGGAGCTGAGTGGAGACCCTCAACAATCCTGCTCCTGGCTCTCAAGCTGGCGTGCATCCAAGTCCTCCCAGCCCTGGTCTTCAGGTCTGCCCTAGGTTTGCTCCAGATGTCCTTGTCACACTCTGCTCCTGGCTTTTCCACGCACACCCCGGGTATTAACCTGAGACCACGCGACAGAAAATGTCCTACACACAGATCATTGTCTTATACTTCATTTGTAAACCTGATTCGCAAAAAAACAAATGGATTTAACTCAGTCAGTGGGTTAATTTCCTCTTTCCCATTCTTATTTTTGACTAATCCTCGAATCCTGTACCTTTCCACCTTCTTGCTACGGACAGACAAAACTTTAATCCTTCCCAGGACCCTTAGCGTGCCACTCCACTCAGGCAAAAACTCCACACATTGGGCTCCCCCGTGACAGTAGGGGGCGCTGCAGGGGCCTGCAGGAGCTCTGCTTAAAACTGATCCCTTGCGGTCTGGCTGAGGCGAGGGGGAAAAAGCTGAGAGCTCCGTCTGAAGGGAGAAGCTGGTCCAGCCTGTTACCTGGCTACTCCTCACCCTACTTCCGCCTGGGGCCCGGAGTAGGGAAGCAGGAAGTGTAGCACCCGAGGACCAAGGCATGGGCCCTGCCGTCCCCGTGGTCCTGCTGCTGCTTTTGCTAGGTGAGCCCCAGGGGCAGGGCCAAGAAGCGGGGGAAACAGAAGCGTTTGACTCAAGAAGGCATCATATGATAACGAGGATGCTACTTGTGAGTGGCATCATCTAAGAAACTCCTGCGAGATTATTGCATACACGCCACCGTTTTAATGTCGTCCCTGCTTAGATAAAGCAGTAAACAAAAGTCCTTGTCTTCATGAGACTTACAGTCAGTGCACGTATTAAAAATGTAAATTATAAAGCATATTAATGGGTAGTAAATGTTATGAAAGGAAAGGGGCATCTAAAGTTCAGGGACAGGACAGGCCTGTAATCCCAACAGTCAGGCGGGCTGAGGCAAGAGGATCACATGTTTGAGGTCAGACTGTGCTATTATCGGGAGTTCTAGGCCAACCTAGACTACATAAAACAAAGTAACAGCAACAACAACAACAGAGGTGTGCTGTAATTTTTAACAGGCTAGTCTAAAATGGCCTCTCTGAAAAGGAGTAATTTGAGCAGATACTGGAAAGAGACTGGGTGATAGTGGAGCACTTGGCTAACATGTTCCAGCCCCTGCAGCACAAGGGATTCCCCAGCTAGGGCCATGAGGGACTGAGGAAAGGACAAACACACATACACAGACACACAGAAAAGCTGGGGTTGTGTGGACTGGGCTCTCTGATGGAGAACTGCAGCATGTTTATTATATACAGCTGAACAAGAAGGCGGGGTTATTACATACAGATAAGCAAAGAGGCGGGGTTATTACATACAGATAAGCAAAAAGGCGGGGTTATTACATACAAATAAACAAAGAGGCGGGGTTATTACATACAGATAAGCAAAGAGGTGGGGTTATTTCATACAGATAAACAAAGAGGCAGGGTTATTACATACAGATAAACAAATAGGCGGGGTTATTACATACAGATAAACAAAGCGGCAGGGTTATTACATACAGATACACAAAGAGGCGGGGTTATTACATACAGATACACAAAGAGGCGGGGTTATTACATACAGATACACAAAGAGGCGGGGTTATTACATACAGATACACAAAGAGGCGGGGTTATTACATACAGATACACAAAGAGGCGGGGTTATTACATACAGATAAACAAAGAGGCAGGGTTATTACATACAGATAAACAAAGAGGCGGGGTTATTACATATAGATAAACAAAGAGGCAGAGTTATTACATACAGATAAACATAAGAGGTGGGGTGTACAGTATGAAGCTGGATGGAGGAGGCATGCTTAGCTGATTTCCTAGGAGCAGTGTTTGTTGGAGAGCATTCTTCAAGCCATACAAATTAGTGGGAGGAAGCTACAGTGGACATTTTCTGCCCACACTGTCAACATCCACACATGAACCAGGGGAAGGCTCTGCCTTCCCTCTGAGCCTCACCCCTAGGCTGAGGTGGAGGGGCTTTGCCATTTCCCCACAGGTCTGAGGCTAGGGTCCTTGACATGGTCATGCCCATGTCAACAGTATGCATTCACTCAGGACTTCATTCACTCACGGCTTCCTCCACTCCCTATAGGGAGGAAGTCTTCATGGAAATGAGCAAGTTAGATGAGGCCCTGGGAAACTCCATGTCAGGCAGAGGAATGTGGAGGTACTTCTGGTATAATAAATAACTTGTTATTTCTCTGGTCTACAATTGATTAAAAGAAGGCTATAGTGTCAGTAGCAAAGACGTAAGAGGTAGCAAAAAAGATATATAAATATTGTAAAAGGACAATTCAGTTAAAAAAAAACATAAAAATGAACAGCCTATAAATCTCAAAAGCATCCCAGGGCATCACTGTATTACAACTGAACATACTTGATTTTCCTGACAATGACCCTGAATCATCAAGTAAAAGGTAAACTTCGGTTGCTATAGGCAGGTAGGTATAAAATTATCAAGAGCCCCGGTAACTGGTAGATATTTGTAAATTTTAGCCTTACCACCAGTCTGGAAAGCTTTCTGTTCAGTGAGCTTAAGTATAAGATGTGTTACTATGTTAATAATGATATGGTGTGTTTTCTGTAGGGTCTTGCCAATACTCTTTTACCAAAAAGAAAAGTTTGCAATTAGGTAAGTAAGCAGTCTCCACCCTGGCTTGGGACTGCTGGGTTTGAAACTAGAATTGGGGGGTAGGGGTGGCTGGAGAGATGGCTCAGTGGTTAAGAACACTGGCTGCTCTTTCAGAGGACCTATTCCCAGCAGCTCACAACCATCTATAATTGTAGTCCCATGGGATCCGATGCCCTCCTCTCATGTGCAGACGTACCTGCAGATGAAAACACCCATATACATAAAGTGCACAAATAAGTAACTTGAAAAAAAAAACAAACCTGGAATTGGGAAGCTTAAGGAGTCTTAGGGAAGGCTTAAATCCTAAAAAAAGGATGAGGTGGGAGTTTGGGGACAATGATTAAAATGGAGACCAGAGGTTGAACAGAACTCCTAGTCTGCACAGTTCCTTCTCTTCTTTGTCTAGTGTGTGGACGACCTGTATACCATGGACGTATTGTGGGTGGCCAGGCTGCTGCCTTGGGGCGCTGGCCTTGGCAGGTCAGCCTGCAGGTTGACCAGACCCACATTTGTGGAGGTTCCCTCCTCAGCGACCGCTGGGTACTGACGGCAGCACACTGCGTAAAAAAGTGAGTTGTAGCTGGGAGCTGGCACACAGACGGCTCTTCCGGAAATGGTTGAATGGCATCATGGGAACCGATAGGCTAGCACAGGTGTTAGGATCAGCAGGGCAGCAGGGAAGCCCTCGTTGTCCCGGAATGAACACAACCAGGGGACGGGGTGTAGACAGTTCCCTTCCATTGTGCTAGCTCACTTCTGAAAGAAGTAGCCAGTTCCCTTCCATTGTGCTAGCTCACTTCTGAAAGAAGTAGCCAGGGGTTTGTCTTGAGCTTTTGGATCTCAAAAAGAACCTGAGCTTTCTCAGAGCCATTGTGTGAAAGCAAGTTGTCATGTGGTGAGCACTATGTGAAACTGGATCCTCCCGAGGACTCCAACTCAATATAAGTGAGCTGGAAACACTCTCCCCCAGCCAAGCCCTGAGATGACTGCAGCCCTCCCTGAGATGGCCACACCTGATCCCCAACTCAAAGAATCTGAGACACGAACATGTTTTCACGTACACCACAAAACATTGTCGTAACTAATTGTGCAACGACGGATAACTAAGATGCATAGAAGTCAAAATAACACGCTTTTTCATGAACAACTGTGAAAACTCAGGAAAATGGTACAGTGACTTCAAAATGCTGAGGGAGAGTTTCTTCCTCACCCAGAATGGTATATTCTACCCATATACAAACTATGAATCAATAGGGTATAAACAGACCTTTACAAATATTCAAAGCCGCAAAAACATTACCACTCACAGATCATGGGAAGGGAGGAACAGGGAAACATGGATCTAGACAAAATGGTACAAGGGGATTCTCAAGAAAATCATAAATATTGTAAAGGTAAGTCCAAGATGAAGCAGGTGCAACAGACCAGGACAAGAAGGCCAAAGGCCAGAGAAGCAGGGTGGGTGGGGGTGGTAACAGACTGCCCAATGGTACTGCCTGGACGTACTGAGAAGTTTGTATTTCTAGCAGAGAGCTTGGGGGACAAAATGATGGATCTGTGATGGGCATTAAGAAAACAAAATGAGCCGGGCGGTGGTGGTGCATGCCTTTAATCCCAGCTCTTGGGAGGCAGAGCCAGGTGGATCTCTGTGAGTTCGAGGCCAGCCTGGTCTATAGAGTGAGATCCAGGACAGGCACCAAAACTACACAAAGAAACCCTGTCTCAAAAAAAATCAAAACAAACAAACAAAAAAAAAACAAAAAACAAAAACAGGCCGGGCGGTGGTGGCGCACGCCTTTAATCCCAGCACTCGGGAGGCAGAGCCAGGCGGATCTCTGTGAGTTCGAGGCCAGCCTGGGCTACCAAGTGAGTCCCAGGAAAGGTGCAAAGCTACACAGAGAAACCCTGTCTCGAAAAACCCAAAAAAAAAAAAAAAAAAAAAAAAGAAAAGAAAAGAAAAAGAAAAAGAAAACAAAATGAGAGGACGTTACTAACTTCAGGAAAAGCCAAGGGTTTTATGAGACACGCAACAGTCTAAGCCGCAGTCCAGGAGGTTACACAGGGACAAGAGAACACTGATCGGACCGGTAGGAAGAGGGGGTGAAAACCAAGCATGGACAGAAGCTTCACGGTTTTCTACTGTTGTAATGAAGTCCACGGCCCAAATCAACCCAGTGGGGAAGGGCCGGTTTCAACTTACAATTGTTCTCCATCACGAAGTAAAGACAGGACAGGAACTCAAGGCAGCAACTGAGGCAGAATCCAAGGAGGAACCCTGCTCAGTGGCTTGGCCCCAGCGCTTGCTCAGCCTGCTTTCTTATACCACCAAGACCTGCCCTGGGGTCAACTGAGAAAATGCCCCCGAGGCTCGCCTACAGACCAATCGGATGGAGGCATTTTCTCAGTTGAGAATCCTCTTCCCAGATAACTTCAGCTGTGGAACAGTGAGATGTGTAAGAAAGCTCAGGGCTTACCCTCTGCGTTAGGAACTCAAAATCCAAAAACATTGTGTGGGGGTGGGGGGGGGGGTGTCAAGAAAGAGCAATATACAGCATTTCTTAAAAATACCAGGGAAATTATTTATCTGAAAGAGCTGAAAGTGACACACTATGCATAGTGTGGACTGAGAGCAGTCTGCCAAGAACTTAAGTTATTTATTTTGTACATCTTATGAGACTACCTGACACACTCACACACATACACACACACACACCACACACACACACTCACACACACACCACACAACACACCACATACACACCACACACCACACACACGCACACGCACACCACACACACACAACACACCACATACACACCACACACCGCACACGCACATGCACACGCACAACCATGGAGAATGGAAGAGGTTAAGTGGGGAAAACCAGGGAGAATATATAGGGCAAATTCTGACCACCCGTGTATAAGGAGAGACCACAGGAAGAGAAGCCAGGACAGGGCGCAGGAGACTGGAAAAGGACAAACTAATCTTAGCTCAAGATTAACTGAGCCCTGGTGGTGTCATCCTTTCTTGGTCGGAGACTTTGGGCTATAGATAGGCAGCTTGTTCTGATCTGCTGTAGGCCAACACGTTGTTTTCGTGATTTTCCCCTGTCTTTTCCCCTTAGGACCTGGTATGCTCTTTTCTACACTGTGTGGCTTGGATCCACTGATGTAAACTACTCAAGTAAAGGCAAGGAATACTACGTGTCCAGAATCGTCATCTACCCCAAACGGGACGGTTTTTTAGACGGAGACGTTGCCCTGCTGAGACTGTCTTCCCGGGTCACCTTCACAGATGTCATTCTGCCCATTTGCTTGCCCAGGGCCTCAAAGCAGCACGCACTCCCAGCTTCTTGCTGGACGACTGGATGGGGACAAAATAAGGAAGGTATGGGAGAGATGGGTGGAGAGAGGGATTGACTGATGAATTAATTAACTAATTAATTAGTTAAGTTAGTTTGTGTAGCCCAGGCAGGCCTTAAACTTGCCCAATAGCCAAAGCTAGCCTTGACCTCATGCTCCCTTATCTCCTGGAATTATAGGTGTATGCCACCGTACCTGGTTCTAGCTAATATTTTTCAACTAGATCAAAGCAATCTACAAGTCTTCAAATAAAATATCCTTTTGATATTTACCTGTTTGTTTACTTTTATATCATGCCTAGAGTCTGACTAGAACTGACAGAGCAAATATTAATAATTTAAACACAGAATTACCTCTCCTTCAGAGACTACTAAACACGACTTAATGTTTGGAGAGTCTAGGTTTTTTTTTTTTTTTGGTGTGTGTATATTAATTTGTTTATAAAATGCGTGTTAACACTGTTCCAGAATGAAGTAGAGATATGACAGGAATTCATCTGGAAGCATAAAAATGAGGAGGAAAACAATTTTAGAATAATTTATATTACCTACACTTTGACTTAATCAGAAGTTATCTGAATATTCTTTATTAGAATGCTGGCACAAACTGAAACAATTCGAATTCATTTATTTGGATTTAACCATCTCAGACCTTTCCATGCAAGGAAGGTGGCTGGAAGGTGGCTGATTCTGACTGTGGCCCTGTCCACTTTCCAGGTTGTTACAATCGTGCATTCCTGTCTTCCTCTGCAGGTCATTACCCCTCTACCCTCCAAGAAGTTGAAGTACCCATGGTTACCAGAGAGGCCTGCGAAAAACTGTACAACCCTATCGGTGCTTTCGTCCCAGAACTGGAGCAGGTCATCAAGGAGGATGCACTCTGTGCTGGCGATATTCGGGAGGAGAAGGACAGCTGCAGGGTTAGTGTTTGCTCTTGAGGCACTCCTGTGTACCTTCCTTCCTTCTAGGAGATCTTACTGTGGCTCTAAGTTGTTTTTATCTGTTATTAACAGTAAATTATGACCCAAGCTATGATGGTTCTGACAATAATTCTTGAGCTATGTTGGACAAACCAACTGACCTATATCAATATTTAAATTTATTTTACTTTATTTTTGAGATTATAATTACATCATTTCCCCTTTCACTTCCTCCCTCTAAACCCTCCAATATGCCTCCTCCTTGATCTCTTTCAAATGCATAGCCTCCATCTTCATTTCATGGTTGTTACATATGTGTATACACACACACACACACACACACACACACACACACACATTCCTAAATACATAACTATAACCTGCTCAGTCTGTATAATGTTACTTGCATATATGTTTTTAGGGCTGACCATTTGGTATTAGATAGCCAATTGGTACGCTCTTTCCTGGGGAAGACCATATCTCTGCCTCAGCATTCCTTGGTTGCCTACAGTCCTTAGTGTAGGGCTGAGGCCTCCTGGGCTTTTCCCTGTCCACTTTGGCATATCTGTTGTTGTCTTTGTTCAGCTCGCATTTGGGCAGTCATGTTAGTGAGACCCCGTGTAGCTTCTGACATTACTAGGAGACATGGTCTCACAGCAAACTCCTGGAACCCTTGGCTTTTAAATAATCCTTCTGCTCCTTCTTCCATAAGTTCCCTGAGCCTGAGATGTGGGAGTTGTATTACAGATATATGCCTTGGTACTAGGCTCCGCAACTCTGTGTTGTTGTTGTTTTTCATGTGCATTGGTGTTTTGCCATGGGTGTTGGGTCCCCTGGAACTGGAGTTATAGACAGTTGTGAGCTGCCATGTGGGTGCTAATAATCGAACCCAGGTCCTCAGGAAGAGGAGTCAGTGCTCTTAACTGCTCCAGCCCCCACAACTCTGTATTTTGATTGTTTTTTCTGTAATGTTGGGCTTATATCAATTTAATTCCTTCAAATATAAAACTATTGATCTAGACCAGTGGTTCTCAACCTTCCTAATCCTGTGACCCTTTAACACAGTTTCTCATGGTTCCTTATGGTGAACCCCAACCATAAAATTATTTTTGTTGCTACTTCCTAACTGTAATGTTGCTGCTGTTATGAATTATAATGTAAATATCTGATATGCAGGATAACTGATATGTGACCCCTGTGAAACGGTCCCTTCAACACCCCCCAGGGGGCTTGACCCATAGGTTGAGAACCACTAATCGAGACCAATGTAGCCACTTGTCAATGTCACACTGATGGTGTCTGGACCCAGATAGGTGTGGTGAGCTGGGGTTTGGAACGGGGCAAAAATCTTCCTGGAGTCCTACGCCAACGTGACCTACTGTAAGTGTTATGGGCGGGGCTTAAGCAGTGGTTAGAGAAACTCAGTTGTAAATGTCAGTTCTATAAACAAGAGTATCTCAAGTGAAAAACCTAATCTCTATTTTAAGAGACTGGGAAAGGAGGCTGGACACAGCGCAGTCATTTCAGGGCCATGGTTTCAATTTGAGCATTGAAGAGGAAACCCGGAAGGAAGGAAACAAGGGAGAAAGATGGCCACTAAAGAGAGAGAAAAGGGGGAGGGGGCAGGGGGGAAGGGGGAGAGGGGGGAGGGGAGAGGGGGAGGGGGAGAGGGGGGAAGGGGAGAGAGGGCACAGTACTGGGGGTTGGGGAGCAAACTAGACCTGGGAAAAGAACAAAGAAAATAAGGATTTTATTTACTGAAGCAGAGAACAGAAAGACAATAAAAAGTCAACAAAAGCCAAACTTTGTTTTAAAATCAAATTGGAAAAAAAGATAGCGAGACTGAGAAGTTAATAAGCTGATACTAAAACTCATATAGAAATTCAAGTGGCCCTAAACAGTCTTGAAAAAGAAGAACGAAGTTAGAAGACTCAAACTTTGATTCCAAAGCTTTCTACAAAGTGACAGTAATCAAAACGGTGTGGCCGAGCATAAGACCAGACACACACAGTGAGCTGTGAACAGCATTGTATCTTAAAGCTGTTACAAAACAAAGAAACAAAACAGGGAATAAATTACTAATGACTGTCATTTCATTCCATAGAAGAAATGAACATTTAACACTAAAAAGACAACAAGAAGCCATGGAAAAACAGGAGTAGTGTATTACACAGAGTAAGTCTTGCTCTGTAGTGAAAACCTTAATGAGAAACGTCACATTAATTTTCCTTTGCTTTTTCATGGTTGATCAGATGAATATTTAGAAAGGACCAATGTATTTTTCTAAGGTCCCTGCCAATTTCACATTCTGTGATTCCAGAACTCCTGTGAGCTCTCCCTGAAGCAGTGGGAAGTCCAACTCCCTGGCAGCTGCACAGCTCAGTCCAGATCCGGTTCTGAAGAACTCTCCATCCCTCCTGACTGATAACAGTCCCCTCCCAACCCACCAGGCCTTCTCACTGCTGAGCTCTGGCCTTTCTGTCTCCCTTAGGGCGATTCTGGAGGGCCTCTTTCATGTCACACCGATGGTGTCTGGACCCAGATAGGTGTGGTGAGCTGGGGTTTGGAATGTGGCAAAAATCTTCCTGGAGTCTACGCCAACGTGACCTACTATCAAAAATGGATCAGGGCCATTATCTCAAGAGCTCGGGGCTTGGGTGGTGACTGTACTTACGTGACTTCTTGTTTCCTACTTTCTCTGGCTCTCCTGGGATCCTCCTGAGCCTTGGCTCTAACAAGATACCAACAGTATATAGAGCTGATGCTGCTGAGGAGCTAATGGGATGGGATGTGTGGAGAATAAAGCCTTGGGCAGAGAAATCATAATAGAGTCACTGAGATTCCTGGATGACTAGCTTCATGATTTTGTTTTCAAGGTTCTTGATTTCCTTATGTTTTATTGGTTGGAAGGCAAACAGCTAATAAACAAGGCTACCACTTCTCTGCATGGTATTTTTTTTTTTATTTTTATCCCAGAATAATGTATGTTATGAGGGAGGAAGGATTCTTTCTATGAATAAATATTTGTGAATCTGAGTTAAATAACTACTAGAAAATCAAAATAATGTAAGGGAGGGTATTCAAGGAACTCTATAGGGGTCTATTTTGAACCTTACCTGCATCAGGGATTTCTTACCTACTCTGTATTTTTTGCCTCCTCTATCATCCTTTGTTTCCCTTCTAACCCTCTTCTATCCCTCCATCTGTAATAAGGAGTGCGTATAAGCAGCTTTGCTCTTTTAAAATTCCTGTGTGGTTTACTACTACAAATATTGTTAGGTTTGGCAGCACAGTCTCTAATCACAGCACCTGGAAAGCAGAGGACAGCAAGTCTGGGGCTAGCCTGTGCTACATCATGAGTTTGAGGCAAACCTGGGTTACAAAGCAAGACCCTTTCTAAAAAACATAGATCAATCAACTAAATGGATTAATGCTATGAGCCCAAGCCCTGAGGTCTCAGGTAAACAATCTTAACCTACCAAGGTTCCATAATGTCTGCTTTATAATAAAGGCCTTCAAATGTTCAGACCGAGGAAAAGAGCCTCTGCCTTTAGACTGCAGGAGCTCAGAACTTCGTTCTGAATGGACCACAGTCATTATCTTTCTCTTTGATTGTAGGCTGAGGCTTCTGTCCCGCTAGCCATTCTCAAGTAACCACACAGAGGCTTAATATGAATTATAAATGTTCAGCCAATAGCTCAGACTTGTTACTAGCTAACTCTTACATTTAAATTAACCCATATTTCTTATCTATGCTTTGCCATGTAGCTCATGCTTGTTAGCTCATTTTCTACATGTCCTGCTTCCTCAGGGGCTGGCTAGTGTCTTCTGACTCCCCCCTTCTCCTTCCCAGCATTCTCAGTTTGGCTTTCCCATCTACCTATATCTTGTCCAGCTACTGGCCAGTCAGCTTCTTTATTAAACCAATCACAATGACAAATCTTCACAGTGTACAAAAGGATTATTCCACAGCACTTGATTTTTCTGGTGTAATTTCATTTATACACCTTTGAGCCATCCTTTATTTCTCATTTAATTTGTTTATTGTATCTATGCCTTTTATAGTAAATCAACTTTCAAAAATAATTTTTTTATAAATAAATACATTAAAGAGGAGTGAGTATGAAAGCCAGGCATGGCACATGCTTATAATCCCAGTTCTTAGGAGGCTAAGGCAGGAGTTCAAGGCTGGTGTAAGCTACAGGGACAATGTCTAAAATGAGAAAAAGAAGAAGCAGGACCGTGTGGGTGGACTTGGAAACTTAAGATCTGAGCCAGCAGGATGGCTTGGCAGGTAGGAACACTTGCCACCAGGCCTGACGACCTGAGTTCAAGCCTTGGGGCGCACAAGGTAGAAGGCAAGAGCCAACTCCCAGGAGCTAATCCTCTAACCT